AGTTGGTACTTTGGTTTTGAACTGCTTTTTTTCAGAAGCCCTGACTAAAGTAATGACCTACAATGCCTCTCTGCCCCCGTTATAAGTAATAAAGATATGTTAGATAAAACTTGGCAAGTAAATGACAAAAAGTCTTGGTGTGTTCTCATTTCTATGTAGGTATACACATAAGTTGAATTAGCATATTGGAGTGTAAATTTTTAGGCCCTTTGTGGTTACAAAACTTCTGTTGAAATTTTGGAGTTCTTAATACTTATCCTAGTAATAGATGAGAATAATTGTTCACCCTTATTCTCTCCAGCATAATTTGTGCCAAATAATTTAAAATCTTAGCCAAGCTTATCTGCAAAAACGGATAGTATTATTTCAGTTGACATATTTAGCTAACTTTGACCAGTAGTGAAACTTTTTAAATGCATGTTGACTGTCTGTCTTTGGCTGTTCTATTTCTGGCCTGTTTACTCAGTGTATGTTTGATAGGACTTTTCATACTTCCTGGGCAAGCAGTATTTATAATGTGTAGATAGTAAAGATTTATCATCTAATTTCTTTTTTTCCCCCACCTGTGTAGGCTTATAATTTTATAAAACAGTACTGACACTATTCCATGTAATTTCCTCCCATTTGTTCTTCCCTCTTAAACGTTTGAGCCTCTTCTCATGTCAAACGTTCATGGTAATTCTCATTTTCTTACTGATTTATAACAACTTAAACCGTATTACTAGATTTCTTTCTTTTTTGGGGGGGGGAGGTTAATGTTTATTTAGTTTTGAGAGAGAGAATCCCAAGCAGGCTCTGCACTGTCAGCTGTGATTCAGGGCTGGAACTCATGAACCATGAGATCATGACCTGAGCCAAAGTTGGATGCTTAACTGACCGATCAGGTGCCCCTAAAGTTTTGAAGCATTCAATTTAAGTTTTGGCAGAGGTATATACTTGTGAAACAATCACCACAATAAAAAAATGAACATAGCTATTGCCCAAAAGTTTCCTTCTGCCCTTTTAGTACCACCCATTCCTCCCCTCAAGCACCTACTGCTCCGCTTTCTGTCATTATGTTAGTTTGCATTTTCTAGAATTTTATATAAAGAGTCCTATGTACTCTTTAGGTCTGGCTTCTTTCAGTCCACGTAATTACTTGGAGATCTACCCAAACTGTGTGAATCAGTAGCTCATTCCTTTTTATATCCAAGTAGGATTCCATTGTGTGGGTGTACTACAATTTGTGTATTGGTCCGTTGGTGGACATTTGGATTGTTTTGTTTTTGACTATTATAAATAAAGGTGATAGAAAAATTCATGTGCAGGGCTCTGTATGGATGTGTACTTTTGTGGGGACACACTTGGACTTCGAGTTGGTTTGAAGATGATTTTAACCTAAAGACATTCGAGACTGAACAGATTTCGAAAGAAGCCTATTGAGAGTTTCCTTTATCTGACTGAGGACAGAAACTTCTGGAGGCTGACATAAATACCTTTCCAGGGGAGTTTTACTGGCCTGAAAAAAGACCATTTGCTCCTTTATAAACAAACATTATCACAAGCCTTAGCTCCCACGGGTTCCAGCAATGAAGCCTTTTCTCATCCCTCCTTATTCTCCATCAAGTTAGCCATATAAATCCCCAGCTTTACTGGAGAAAAACTTCTTCTATGTTTCCACATGTGTATATGAATAAACTCCCCCCCCCCCCCCCAATTAAACTGTCTGTTGTCAGTTAAATTCACAGGCTCCCCAGTCATGGAACCTAAGTTGGTAGAGGAAAAGAGGTTTTCCTCCCACACTTGTATTTCTCTTGGGTGAATTCTAGGAGTGGAATAGCTGGGTCATAAGGTTATCTAATTCTTTTAAAACTCTGCACACCTGTGCCAGGCTTATTTATATGGCCAACAGTCTACTTGACTTGAAATCACATTTAGATCCCTGTACACAATTAGCTAAATAAATATCATTAGTGCAGCTTCGTAAAGTGTATTTTATCAGGGGCGCCTGGGTGGCGCAGTCGGTTAAGCGTCCGATTTCAGCCAGGTCACGATCTCGTGGTCCGTGAGTTCGAGCCCCGCGTCAGGCTCTGGGCTGTCAGCTCACAGCCTGGAGCCTGTTTCCGATTCTGTGTCTCCCTCTCTCTCTGCCCCTCCCCCGTTCATGCTCTGTCTCTCTCTGTCCCAAAAATAAATAAAATGTTGGAAAAAAAAGTGTATTTTATCAAATATTTCTCAGTACACACATTTCTCAGTAGGTGAGCATAATATATGTGTAATATTTAAGAAACTGCCAAACTGCTTTCCAAAGTTGTACCGTGTTATGTTCCCACCAACAAGTTATGAAAGCTTTGTTCCTGAAGTGTACAAATTCAGTGGTTCTTAGTATATTCATTGAGTTGTGGAACATCACCACTATGTAATTTTAGAACATTCCCATCACCTCCAAATCAACCCTGTATTCATGTAGACTCACTTCTCTTTTACACCTCTCCAGCCCCTGGCAACCACTAATCTATTTTGTCTCTGTGGATTTGCCTATTCTGGGCACTTGAAATACACATCATACAATATGCAGCTTTTTGTGACTGCTTCCACTTAATATGTTTCAAGGTTCATGAGTGTTGTAACATATATCAGTGCTGCTGCCCTTTTTTTTTTTTTTTTTTTTTTTTTTGAGTTAGGCTCCACGCCCAGTGTGGAACTTGAACTCAAAACCCTGAGATCACGAGGCAAATGCTATACGGACTGAGCCAGCCAGGAGCCCACTTCATTTTTTTTTTTCTTTTTAAAGTAAACTTTAAATTTTAGAATAGTTGTAGATTTACAGAAAAATTACGAAGGTAGTACAGAAAGTTTCCATGTACATGCCAGCCAGTCTCCCGTTATTAACGTCTTATATTAGTATGGTACATTTCTTCACATTTAATGAACCAGTGTTTTGAGGTCCTAGTTTATAATAAACTAAGGTTCATACTTTATTCAGATTTTCTTAGTTCTTACCTAATGTTATTCATGTTTTCCTGGATCCCATCCAGGATATCACATTACATTTAGTTGTCATCCCTCCTTAGCCTCCTCTTGGCTGATAGTTTTTTGGGCTTTCCTTATTTTTGATAACCTTGACAGTTTTGAGGAGTGTTGATAGGGTATTTTTCAGAATGTCTCTAGAAGACTTATCTAAAACTTATCTCGTGATTAGACTGGATATATGGGTTCTTGGGAGGGAAACCACAGAGGTAAGATGCTGTACCTGTTACATCATATTAAGAATGTATACTGTCAACATGACTTATCACTGTTGATGTTAAGGCTTGATCACCTGGATGAAATAGTGCATGTTGGATTGCTTCACTGTAAAGCTACTCCTCTTCCCGACCCCTGTCCCAATCCCCTTTCCATATTGTATTCATTGAAAGGAAATCACTGTGTATAGCCCACACTCAGAGAGTGGGGAGTTATGTTCTACCTCCTTAGGGCAGAATATCTAACATAAATTATTTGGAATTCTTCTCCATGGACATTTGTCTTACTGACCTGTATATATACACTTCTGTGAATATATCTCTTTGTAATTAGAGTAAACTAAATATTACTTGTTCCTCATCCCTTTTTGTTGCTAAATAATAATCCATTGTGTAGCTGTAACATTTTGCTCATTCACTCATCAGTTGATGGACATTTGGATGGTTTCCACATTTTAAATATTGTGAATAACGCTGCTGTGAACATTTGTGTACAAGTTTTTGTGTGGGCATATGTTGTCATTTCCCTGAGTAGGGACCTAGTATAGCAATTCCATCAGGAATTGCTGACTCCTGTGGTAACCCTATGTCTGATGTTTTGAGGAACTGCCAAACTATATTCCAAAGTGATTAGATCATTATACAGTCCCACTAGCTACTAGTAAGGGTTTCAATTTCTCTGCATCTTTGCCATCCTTAGTTTAGCCATCCTAAAAGGATACAAAGTGATAGATATCTCATTGTAGTTTTAATTTGAATTTCCCTAATTACTAAAATTAGTGAACATTTTTTTCATGTATTTGCTGTTCATAGATTTTTTTTTTTTTTTGGTGGTATGTTCTATTTAAATCTTTTGAACATTTGAAAACTTGTTTTCCTACTGAGTTTTGAGATTTCTGATTATATATATATGTATATAAATCTATAAAGTATGTATTCTGATACAAGCTTTTTATCAGATAAGTACTTTGCAAATATTTGCTTCCAGTCTTGTCATTTGTGTGTCTCCTCATTTTCTTAAAAGTGTCATTTAAAGAATATAGGAAGTAATTTTCATTTTCTTACTGATTTGTGTCAACAGTATGCTCATTCTTTAGCCATATTGGTAGATCTTTAACTTGAAAAAATGTTTCACATCTTTAAAGCTTTCTAAAATGGGTAGTTTGAAATGTATACAGATTTAAAGAGAGTAGTATAATGATTGACTCCATGAGCCTATTCCCTGACTTCGATTATCATTTTATGGCCAATCTTATTTCCTCTATATGCTACCCCTCCCTTCCAACATTAGATCCAAATAAGGTCCATACTTTGCAGCTGGTTGATTTCTCTTAAGCCTTTTTTTTTTTTAATTTATGTATTTTGAGACAGAGTGTGCACATGTGCACAAGTAGGGAAGGGGCAGAGAGAGAGGGACAGGGAATCCCAAACAGGCTCCATGTTGTCAGCACGGAGCCTGACAAAGGACTCAATCCCATGAACTGCAAGATCATGACCTGAGCCAAAATCAAGAGTCAGATGCTTAACTGACTGAGCCAGGTGCCCCCCCCCCCCCGTTTTTTTAAGATTTTATTTTTTAAGTTATCTTTACACCCAACATGGGTCTTGAACTCACAACCCTGAGATCAGGAGTCTCCATGCTCCACTGACTGAGCCAGCCAGTGTCCCGCTTTTAAAGCCCTCAATCTTTGGATTTTCATTCCATTTTGTTACCTTGCTATTTGTGCAAGAAACTGGATTTTTTATGCTGTTACAATAGATGAGTTGATTTTACGCTTATAGTTTGGTTTCTCAGTCCTCTGTATTCTTGTGAAGTGGTAGTTAGATCTAGAGCAGTGATCTTCACGTTGGCTACGTGTTAGAACCACCTGGGGAGCCTCACAAAAAATTTGAATGTCCAGGCCATATTTAAATTAAACATAACTGATTAAATCATAACTCCAGGGTTAGGGCTATTTTAGCTTCTCTGAGTGATTCCACTGGGTTGCCCACAAAAAGTTGAGCCATATGCAGGATTTTCTTTTTCACTGCTCCCCCCTCTTTTTTTTTTAAAGCAAGAATAATTCATAGGTGGTAGTACAAATGTGTGTGAGGAAGCACATACTTGGTTTTCTTTTTGTAATTGAGCATCCGTAGTTTTTGAGTAATCGATTATTTCATGAAGGGAGGCAAAAAGGGACATTTCAGTTCTCTCCTTTCATTTGTTAATTGAGACACTTTTATAAAGAGAAATTTTGGCAGAGATACTCTTTGGTTACTGTGAGATTCATTTCGTGCAATAAAGGCAATGTTTGATTCTGTTTATTTACCAGTTCTGGGTTCTTCAGTGGTAACGGAGACTTACAAATATTGGAGTTTATATACTCAGTACTTGAGTTTATAATATTGATTTGTGTCTCCGTCTATTTTTGTTAGCTTTACTGATAGTTTGTCTTGTGTTTAGCTGGTGGGAGCTCTTTCAGGTTGACTCCTGGGTCCTTTCGCCAGTACACCTGTGTGAAGAAAGCCAAGAAGCTAACTACATGTAAACGACACCAACGTGTAAACTAAAAGTTACTCTCATTTTTGTAAAGAAAATACATACTGCTTAAATAACAGGTCAAAGAAAGTGAAAATTTCCATTGACTAAGAGGTTTAGTGAAGAAGTTTCTGAACATGCTTTAGTTTTTGGCTATACACATGTGGTTATTGACATACATGGAATGACCTAATCAGCACTGTTTTGCAGACCTAGTTTTCAGTATCTACCAGGTGTGTTGTAGAGATCCCTTCATGGCCATTCTCTTTTAATAGCTATATAATTGGAAGAGACTAATTTATTTATCTTTTGTCGGTGTATAGATTGTTTCAAGTTTCTCATTCTTATAAGTAGGCCCCCCTTTTATGGCTTCATTGAGATAACCACATGTCTGACAATTTTCTGTTTAAGGTGTACAAATCAGCGGTTTTTAGTATATTCACAGATAATGTGTAACTGTCACCACAGTTAATTTTAGAATATTTTCTTCAGCTCAGAAAGAAATCCTGTACCCTTTAGCTATCACTGTCACCTCTTTCCCTCACCTACCCTTTAGCCTTAAGCAACCACTCATCTTTTTGTCTATATAGAGTTGCCTATACTGGGCATTTTATTAAAACACCATCATTGTAGTCTTTGTGTTTGGCTTCTTAGACTTAGCAGAATGTTTTCAGGGCATCTCTGTGTTGTAGCATCTATCAGTACTGGCTTCCTTTCTGTTGCCAAATAATACTCCGTTGTATGGATATACCACATTGTGTTTACCCATTCATCCATTGAAGGACATTTTGGTTGTTTCTACTTTTTGTTGGCTATTGTGAATAATGCTCTTGTGAACATTTATGTGTGTGAACATGTTTACATTTCTCTTGGGAGTCTTGAAGTAACTGTTTAAGGTTTTGAGGAACTGCCAAACTGTTTTCTTAGAGTGGCTGTACCGCTCTGGAATTTACATTCTTAGCAGTAGAGCTCCAGTTTCTTAACATTCTTTGGTCATTTGTCTTTGTGATTATCTGACCTTTTGATTATAGCCATCCTAGTGGATTTAAAGTGATCTATCATTGTGGTTTTGGTTTGCATTTCTCCAGTGACTAATGATGAATGCCAAGTATTTTTCATGTGCTTTTGGCAATTTGTATATCTTCTTTGGGGAAATGTCTGTTCAGGTCCTCTGCTCACTTTTATTTTATTTTTAAATATTCTAGTTAATTAATATGCAGTGTAATATTAGTTTCAGGTGTACAATATAGTGATTCAGCAATTCCATGCATCACCCAGTGCTCATTACAAGTCTAGTCCTTAATCCCCATCACCCATTTCACTCACCCACCCTCTACCCATTTTTAAATTGGGTTGTCTTTTATTATGGAGTTCTTTATATATTATAGACATGTCACTTACCAGCTATATGGTTTCCATGTTGGCCTGCATGTAAACACATAAACCCATCCACTCACTTGTCCTAATGTTTGTCCTATACCTCCATCAGTATTCATTGAATGTATGTGAATAATTAGTGTTAATGACTAGCTTATCAGAGTGATCTATGTACTTAGTGTTTCCACACCTGGCTTTGCTTAAGGAAAATGAGTCATTTTGTTACAGGGTTCTGAATTTTGATTTTTATACTTGTCATTAATGAACAGGGCCATTTTTGTTTGACTTTAGAGGTTATAATACAACAATCACACAAAAAGTGGTGGGGGATAATTATTGGGGTGGCAGATGATGCACTGGTTGTGAAATAAGTGAGTGTGTATTTAGCTTGACTTCTGGTCATAAATGAAATTCTGACAGATATGGTGCTTGAGTTTTTTTAATTTTAGAAAAATTGCTAAAAAATTTTGGTTTTTTTGTCTATAAAATAAGAACTCCCCCTCCTCCTCCCCCCCCCCCCCCTTATGGCATAGCTGAAATCCTGGGAAATCTAGTCTTGGAAAAAATGTGGTGAGATTAAATTTCATTTTGCTCAGAAAGTCTGCACTATTCTCTGAAATAGAGGAACATTTTTTCTGTGGACCTGTTCTTGTGTTTACAGATTATGACCTATGTGGTGAAATTTTAATGAATGGCACAAATAATACATCTTTGCCCAAGAATGATTGTTAAAATTGTTGAGAAAATCTGATGTTAATTCGTAACTTTGACTTTTGAGGTAAATTTGAAAAATCAGTCATCACTTTAATGAATACAAAGAACTTCTATTTTCCTATTTTCTCTACTAATATATAAGCTTATCCAAGTAGAGAGTAGATGATGAATCCTCCTACACCTGTCAACCAGCTTCATTCAGCATTTATCCACTTTCTGCCCTTTTTGTTGGTGTTAAAGAGCTTTTGAAGAATAATTTTCCATTCAGTGTGGTGACCTTTCAAGAAATGCACATTTTGGTGTAATGATCACTGGCTTTAGAGTCATGGAGGTTCTGAATCCCAACTCCCCATGTCCTTGCTGTCTTGACTGGGCAAGTGGCCTTTTCCTCGAAGCTCAGTGTTCACATCTTGGTAACAGGTTTAATATCTACCTCCAAAGGTTGTCTGGATGATTAAATGAGCTAATGTATGCAGAGAATCAAAAGAATGTTTGCTGCTAATTATAGCATGTGAACATAGAGCTGCCAGTGAGAATGGGATCACCGTTGCCATGCTGGATTTCCAGTCTGTAACTGTGTGCTGAGGCCTACTGTAGATCTAACAGTGAGGTAGAGTCTAATTCTGACGTAGACAGACGGATGGCCATTCTGTTCTCTTCTATACTTTCCTATGAATAGAAAAGACAAGCCCTAGGATTAAATACAAGGTGCTTACTATGGTGGATGGGGTGAGGACATCCTATGTCCATAGAACCCTATGATAGGGTTCATAGGGCTGCCATAACAAATTCACAGAAACTGTGAGAATTAGAACAATAAATCTATTCCTCACACTTCTGGAGGCAAACAGTCTGAAATCAAGCTGCTGGCAAGCCTCTCTCCTCACTTCTGGTGGTTGACAGTAGTCTTTGGTATATTTGGCTTGTAGATGTATCACTCCAGTCTCTGCCTAGGTGGTCACATTGTGTTTTCCCTGTGTCCAAACTTCCCTCTTATAAGGATGCTGCTCATTGAGTTAGAACCACATTCACAGATACTGGTGGACTTGAATTTTTAAATTCCACACATAGTACAGGGAGCTAACCAAGACTATGGGTGATCGGGAATAGCAATCTAGCAGGTAATACAATCTAAAATGTGCTTCATTTTAAAAGTGTTATTAAGCAATTACAGATCTTGTTCAGTTTACAATGGGATTATGTGGGAGTAAACCCATCATAAATTGAGAATATCATGAGTCAAAAATGCATTTAATACACCTAACATGCTGGGGTGCCTGGTGGTTCAATCGGTTGAGTGGCCAACTTTGGCTCAGGTCATGCATGATCGTGAGTTCAAGTCCTGAATCAGGCTTGCTGCTGTCAGCAGCTCTCTCTGCCCCTCCCCTGCTCTCTCTTGTGCGCGCGCGCGCGCGCGCTCTCTCTCTCTCTCTCTCTCTCTCTCTCTCAAACAATAATACATAGACTTAAAAGAAAAATACACCTAACCTACCAAACACGATAGCATAGCCTAGCCTACCTTAAATGTGTTAGAACACTTAACATTAGCCTACAGTTGGGCATAACCATCTAACAGAAAACCTGTGTCATAATAAAGTGTTGAATACCTCATGTAATTTATTGAATACTATACTGAAAGTTAAAAATAGAATTTTTTTAAGTTTATTTATTTTGAGAGAGAGCAAGCAGGGGAAGGGGCAGAGACAGGGACAGACAGAATGCTAAGCAGGCTCTATGCTGTCAGTGCAAAGCCTGACATGGGGCTTGAGCTCACAAACTGTGAGATCATGACCTGAGCTGAGATCAAGAGTCAGATGCTTAACTGACTGAGCCACCCCCGAAAAACAGAATAGTTTGAAGTCCATCAGTTGTTTACCCTCTTGATCATGAGGCCGCCTGTGCTGCTGCTGCCCAGCATCACAAAAGGGTGTCTGTCCTACCACATATCACTAGCCCAGGAAAAGATCAAAATTAAAAATGCCAACTACACTTCCTACTAAATGCATATCACTTCTGCACCTTGGTAAAGTTGAAAAATCATAAATCTAATCATTGTGAGTTAGGGACAGCCTGTAGTTGGGAATGGGTGAGAGGTGAGGTTGGAGAGAGGTACATGATAATAGTCTTGAACTAAATAGTAAATAAAAACAGTAGTTTGTGTGGATTTTTTTCCCTGAGAGCCCTGGGTAAACTCAAGGGTTTTACATTCAAAATTCATGTAATATAGTGGATTTTTGTTGTGTTCCTGGCTGAATACATGGAAATAGCCTTTATATAATTGAGGAACTTAACAAGTTATTCCAGTCTTTCTTAGAAATTGGTGCTCAGATTTCCAGTCCCACCTGCTGCTAGGATGTAGAGAGCTGCCCATGGCTTGGCTTCTTAGATAAACTCAGACTGATTCATTTGTGAGCAATAATAGAGCTATGGCATCACCATCTGGATGGCAAGTATGTGAATGTATATTTTGTTAATTATTTCATTAAAAAAAATTTTTTTTGACATTTATTTATTTTTGAGAGAGACAGAGCATGAGCAGGAGAAGGGCAGAGAGAGAGGGAGACACAGGATCTGAAGCAGGCTCCAGGCTTCAAGCTGTCAGCACAGCCCAATGTGGGGCTCGAACTCACAAATTTGAAGATCATGACCTGAGCTGAAGTCGGATGTTTAACTTACTGAGCCACCCAGTCGCCCTTATAATTTTATTTTGTTTTATATTCTTTATACTGTTATATTAGTTTCAGGTGTACAATATAGTGATTGAACAACTCCATACAGTAGATGTATGTTTTGAAGTGACCAGGTAGAAGCCAGAAGAACGTATGGTTTCCACACCAACTATGTGCTGGGAATGGCAAACTGTAGACCGGACTCTGGGAATCTGTGCAGTTGGAGATGGAAGCAGTTAAGGGAGGAGTGGTTTGAAGACAAGAAAACTGAGATTTTATTTATTTGCAACATCTTTAAAAATCTTAAATGAACTTGGTTGGCAAGTAAATAGAGCTGCTAAGAGGTGAACTTCATTTCCTAAAAAGCTTGCCATTAACTACATTGTCTTCTTTTACTTTACTGTTAATGTGTACCTTCATTACTATTAAAAGGTTTAAAATTACTTGAGCATACCCACTTCTAGTCCCAATTCTTCAGTAATAGGCGTTATCCAAGTTGGAAATAAAATATTTTCTAAATGGCACATAGCAGGATTATGTTACAATCAGAGGGGTAAGATCTGGGTGAAAAGCTTGTGCAATAGAATTTTGGACCAAAAGTAGTACTCAAGAGCTAATTAGCAGTTTTTAAGTATAGCAAATATATAGCTGGGCTCCAGGTTAGGCTTTGATCTTAAATACACACTACCAGTGACTGAGAACGATGGGTGAGTGTGGGGAAACTCTGGTTTGCCCCGTAGACACTCTTGCCCCACTGGACCAGTAAATTTCAGAAAGAAGAAATCCCATGAACGTTTGTTTGGGTGTCTTTTATCAATAGCTTGGCAATATTGTGATGATTTGTCCACCCCACTGTTGAAAAGCAACTAAACTTAGGAAATGTATGTCTGTCCTAGGAAACAAATAGCAACGGAGGGAAGGATTCCGCTTCTATCCCCACTTTTTCTCTCTTCTAGCACTGTCTTAGCAGGGTTCGGGTTGGTTATAATGTGTTGGTGTGGTAAGGATCTTTCTTTCCTCTGCCCAAATAATTCATGCATTTGGCTCTGCCCTTCGTTCATTTGTTTCTCTATAACTGTCTCCAAGTGAGAGCCTTAAGGATACAGGAGAACACTATTTTCCTGGCATTACTTTTTTTTTTAAACAATTTAAAGGCCAATATAATCCAGTTTGATGTTGTCATTTTTTTCTTGATTGTAGGATTACATGTTCATTGTACAATATTTGGAAAGAGAGAAGGAAAGAAAAAAAAGAGTCTTTCTTCCCAATGACAATATTGTTAAATGACTCCTAGTTCAATCTGGTAGGATAGGCATTTTTCAACATGGTTGGATTGTGTTATACATAGAAGTTTATACTGTTATGTCTTAAACATTCTTTTTAAGAAAATGGAGCTATAATTCACATACTATAAAACTCATATATTTTTTACAGTTTATTTTCAAAGAGCGAGACAGAGAAAGGGTGCATGAGTCAGGGAGGGACAGAGAGAGAGAGGGAGAAAGAGAGAATCCTAAGCAGACTTTGTGCTGTCAGTGAGGCTCAATCCCACGACCGTGACATCGTGACCTGAGTCAAAATCAACAGTTGGGCGCTCAACTGATTGAACCACCCAGCTACCCCATACAATTCATATTTCAAACCAGATATTTCAGTGTTTTTTAGTATATTCACGAGGTATAAAGAACCATCACCACCACTGTGTAATAATTCTGGAACATTTTCCATTATTCCAAAAAGTAACTCCATAGCCATTAATAGTGACTGACCTTCTTTCCTTGGCAGCCTCTTCCAGCCCTTAGCAACCACTTTTCTACTTTGTCTCTATAGATTTGCTTGTTCTGGAGACCTTATATAAAAGGAATTATTATAGGGTCTTTTTCACTTAACATTATGAAGGTGTACCCATGTTATAGTATGTACTTCATTCCTTTTTATGGCCAGACAATATTCTAGTGTATGATTATACTATATATTGTTTATCCATTTATCAATTGCAGGTATTTTATTGTAAGGCCCCATAGAACCCAGTAGAATAACTAATGCATATCTGAAGGACTAATTCTTATGGGAAATAGTCTTTATCAGTATTGACTTTGGAACCAACCTCTTTTTTCTACTCCAGCTGTTTTTATTTTTCATTTTAAAAGAAACTTTAAATAGGGGCAGTGGGTAAAATGCCAGCATCTGGGATGATCTACCACTTTTGGAGGCCACTGTAATCTTGGGTATTTTTCACCTCATGAGATGAGTCACTTTTTTTCCCTTTTTCTTTTTTATTATTGTTTTTAATGTTTGTTTTTGAGAGAGAGTGCAAGTGGGGGAGGGGAGAGAGAGGGAGACACAGAATCCAAAGCAGACTCCAGTCTCTGAGCTGGAGTCAGCACAAAACCCAACCTGGGACCCAAACCCACAAATCACGAGATCATGACCCGAGCTGAAGTTGGATGCTTAACTGACTGAGCCACCCAGTTGCGCCTCTTTTTTTTTTTTTTTTTAAAGTTTATTTTGAGAGAGAGAGCATGCACACACAAGAAAGGGAGAGAGGCAGAGAGAATCCCAAGCAGGTTCCACACTGTCAGCACAGAGCTCGATGCTGGGGTTTGATCTCATGAGCCATGAGATCATGACCTAAGCCAAAACCAAGAATTGGATGCTTAACCAACTGAGCTACCCAGGCACCCCTTTAGTGCCTTCACCCATGATAATGTTGGAATTGTAATGAGGATTTAGAACTGCCCTCTTTTTCCCTCTAGTAATTTGTAGCTGTTTGGAGTAATAATCCCTACCTTTCTGCTCAAGGAGTAAATTAGTGAGTTATTGAGACTTGTGTTTACTTCTGGGATTCCTTAGTCTTTCTATGTTTGTTTGGAGAGCTGGGGGCTGAGGCCTGGCAGGATAACCAGGCAGTCACTGCTGTCTTAGTTTTCTGCTGGACTCTCTCCAGACTCTGTGGCATGTTGGGGTAGGCCACATATAGCTTAGTGTTCAAGGTTTGGAGGCTGCTGTGATTGAGGGGACTGAAGAAAAGACAGCAGGTTAATAGCCTGTACTGTGGAAATCCATGCAGCAGTTAAAAAGAATAAGCTAATTTTGTCTTTACCAACATAGACTGACCACTGAGATGACAGATGAGAGGAAAAAAAAGCAAGATCAGTAATGTCCTACTTTAAGTTACTTAAAATCTGCCTCAGTTTATTCATCTTCATAATGTGGAAAATAGCTACACTGTGAGGAGTAATTGAGAAAATATATGTAAAGTGTTTAGAACAGTAATATATTTTATGAAAATTAACTTAAAACAATTCTCTTCTATGGGTGGATGTGTGACTAAGCATCCACACATACTTAGAAAAAAACTCGAGGGGTGCCCAGGTGGCTCAGTGGGTTGGGCGTCTGACTTCGGCTCAGATCATGAACTCACAGCTCATGAGTTCAAGCCCCACATCGGGCTTTGGGCTGACAGCTCAGAGCCTGGAGTTTGCTTCTGATTCTGTGTCTTTCTCTCTTTCTGCTCCTCCCTGGCTTGTGCTCTCTCTCTCAAATAAATATTTAAAAAACAAAACTTGAGCTACCATTGACAGAATTATGAAAGTAATCATTTTAGAGTGTGTAATTCAGTGGGTTTCTGCATATTGACAAGACTGTACAGCCATCACCGCAAATTCCAGAGCATTTTCATCACTCCAGAAAGAATACCCTACCTGTAAGCAGTCACTCCATTTCTCCTTTCTCTCAACCCCTGGAAAACACTGGATATATCTCTATGGATATACCTATTTTGATAAATGGAGTTGTATAAATATGTTACCTTTTATGTCTGGCTCAACTTGCACTTAGGGTAATGTTTCCATGGTTTATCCATACTATAGCAGGTGTCTGTATTAATTTCTTCTTATGGTTGACTAATAAGTACTCCATTTGTATGTAAACCCTACATTATCCACTGGGGTTGCTTCTCCCTTTCAGCAATTGTGAACAATGCTTGTTAGGAACATAGGTGTACAAATAGCTCTTTGGGTACCTGCTGTCAATTCTTCTGGGTATATATCCAGAAGTGGAATTGTTGGATCGTGTGGTAATTCTGTTTTTAATATTTTTTGAGGAACTGCCATAGTGTTTTCCATAGAGGATGCACTATTTCACGTTTCTCCCAGCAAAGTATGAGAATTCTAATTTTTTCACATCCTTGACAAGACCTCTGTTATTTTCCTTAAAAAAAAAAAAAAAATGATACCCATTCTAATGGGTGTGAAGCAATCTTACTATGGCTTTCATTTACATTCCCTTAATGATTGGTGGCATTGAGCATCTTTTCATGTGACACATACTTGTAAAAACATTTGGAGAGATGCATCAAAAATTTAAGATTTCCTTAAATGTTTGGGGGAAGTAACTGGTTTAGAAGCAGGTGGTCAAAAGGGACCCTAACTTTATATTATTTGGAGTGTTTTACAGTATTGCTGTTAATAAAATGTAGGACAAATTAATGCTGGTTAATACTTTAATCTGATTGAGATATATAGAAATACAGTATTTAGCACTTGGAACGAGGGCTATGTAGTCTTGTTGACCCTTGGGGTTGATAAAGGTCTTTTGTATCAAAGGCTGATTTTCATCTTCCAGCATTGAAAGGATTGAACTGGCTTCAGTATGTGTCACTATATTTTATTTTGTGTGGGGAAAATGAGGCAATGTAGTTGACCAAGTGGTTAACAATGTGGGCTCTGGAATCTGACAGTGGGGGTTTTAAATCATTTGTCTATCACTTAACTACCCAAGTTGAAACACTGTTAACTTCCCCTTGTCATAATTAACGCATCTATTAAATGGGATGTTCCCTTATGGGATTTTGTGGAATAAGATGAGTTAAAATAGATAAAATATTTAAGACAGTGCTTCTACTGGAAAGCACCCAAATGTTATCAGCCATAATTCATTACTGAAAGAAGGCCAGTGTAGTTGGAGAGAGTGGCATTAGATGATGAGCATGCCACACAGGGCCTTCAGGGCACTTGTTAGGGATTTTGGATCCTTTCCCCAATACAAAGGGAAGCTCTTAGAGTTAATAGTAGGGTGTAAGTTGATTAGCTCAACTTTTAAAAATCAGTTTAGGGTAGTACAGTCCAGTAGAAAGAAAATGCAGACAACTTAGGCAATTTAAAATTTTCTAATTGCCGTGTTGAGAAAGTAAAAAGGAAAACAGGTGAATATTAACTTTAATAGTATTTTAATATATCTGAAATATTATAATTTTAACATGTAATCAATTATTTAAAAAATTGAAATATTACGTATTTTGTACTAATCAAATGTGGGTAATCCACTTTTCAAGTGCCCAGTAGCCACATGTAGTCAGTGGCTCGCACACTGACAATACAAGCCTCACTGTTTGAGAACAAACCATTGAAATCAGAAATGAGTATGGAGAGACGATCTTGGAGCATTCTACAATAGTGCAGAGAGGTAGGTCATGGAGGCTTGGTCTAGTGTGGCAGAAGAGAGCAGCATGCAGGCCCAGAGCAATGTGTAGGTGGACTTTTACTGATGAGCTTCTTGGGGATGAGGTGAAATTTTCGAGGCAAGGGTTCTGGTATTTGTAATTCTAGACAGGGTCACCATTGACTCTAAAAGGTAGTAACAGGAGAAGTGAACACAGCATTGGGTTTGGGCATAGATGTCCAATCATAAAGTCCAGCCCAGTAGGAGCTCCTGAGGGCTTGTCTTCTCTGACTTTGAGCTCTGTGTGTGTCTTTGGTAACCTGGCCTCTTGTCTCTCTTAGTTGCTCTGATCACATGATTTTATAAAATTCTAAATTACTGTTTCTTCCTCATGTTAGGGGATCTAACTTGCGGAAGTTGAGGGTGGCTAGAAAGTTATGAGTTTGCTCTGTGTGCCTCTAATGCTGGGACGTTTTTGTGGGATGATGGAGGCAGAGATGCCCTCTGGGTTTTATCAGTGATAAAGATGTTTGCAACATGACTTGTGAAGTTGTGGAAGATTGGGTCTGTGTGTGTTGGCCTTCTGAAGTTGAAATTTGCTTACAGAGTTGGATGTGAGAAAATGGTTTGTTACTCAAATAAGTATGATGATAACAGTTTAGGGAAATTTACATTAAGGTGGATCTTTTTGTTGTTGTTTCTTTTAATAGAGCAGGTGCAGGAGGGGCAGAGGGAGAGAGAGAGAATCCTAAGCAGGCTCCACACCCACAAGGGACCCAACGCAGGGCTCGATCTCACCTTCATGAGATCATGACTTGAGCTGAGATCAGGAGTTGGGGGCTTAACTGGCTGAGCTACACAGGCACCCCACTCCCCTCAAGGTGGATATTTCTTTAAAATTTTTTGTATCTATTTTGTACCAATTTTACAAACGTTTTGGGGTACCTGTAACATAGAGGTGTTCTTTGTTTATTAATGTAGGTAGTCTTCTTATAGATGATATAAAAGAATAAAATTACTGGATTGGTTTTATCCATAAATAGCAACGAGTTATTGTTGACCTGTAGTTGAAGGAAGTTCCCTTGACCCCCACATGCCTGGCTCCCCAGAGATTATCTTGTGGAGGTTCCCCCCCCCCCTTGCTCTTGTTGAATAATGAATAGTTAAAAATAACTTCTTTCTGGTAACCCCTCCCCAAAGTCTGAGCCTGGTTGTGGTATTTGGAAGCTTTATTGGTGTGTGAGTGTGGATGCATGTGCATGTATTTCGGAAGGTGTGTAGTAGGGCAAGAGAGCATTAAATACCTGCTTTGAGTTTTAATTTAACATTTTTTAATGTTTATTGATTTTGAAGTTTATTTTGAGAGACAGAGCGAGTGCGGGAGGGGCAGAGAGGAGAGAGAGAGAGAGAGAGAGAGAGAGAGAGAGAGAGAGAATGAATGAATCAATCAGTCAATCCTAAGCAGCAGGCTCTGCACTATCAGTGTGGGCCTGATGCGTGGCTCGAACTCACAAGCCAAGAGATCATGACCTGAGCTGAAACCAAGAGACACTTAACTGAGCAACCCAGGCACCTCTTTAATAGTTATTCTTTTTTTTTTTTTAATTTTTTTATGCTTATTTATTTTTGAGATAGAAACAGAGCATGAGAGTTGGAGGGGCAGAGAGAGAGGGAGACACAGAATCTGAAGCAGGCTCCAGGCTCCGAGCTGTCAGCACAGAGCCTGACATGGGGCTTGAACTCACCAGCTGTGAGATCCTGACCTGAGCCGAAGTCAGACACTCAGCTGACTGAGCCACCCAGGCGTCCCTGTTTATTTTTAAGAGGCAGGGGGAGGGGCAGAGAGAAAGGGGTACAGGATTCGAAGCAGGCTCTGTGCTGACAGCAGAAAGCTTGATGTGGGGCTCAAACTTCTGAACCGTGAGATAATGACCTGAACTGAAGTCAGATGCTCAAAGGACTGAGCCACCCAGGGGCCCTAACTGGTTTTTATAATGGCTGTGGCTTTACACTTCTTTATCTTTTTTATGTGAATTCATAATAAATACTTGTTTGCTTATATCAATCACTATGGACTTCTAAAGGAAGTTGGAATTAGTTTCCTTTGCTCTTAGACAAAAACTATTTTGTGGCTTCTTTTTTAACCCTTTAGTTTTTGTTGTGCCTCACTGAGCTAAACACAGTTCTCAGATAACAAAGACATGGTCCCTTTCCTTATAAAGTTTATTTTTAAAAAAAATTTTATTGCAAGTACATAGTTTCTTTTTAGAAAAAAAAATTTGTTTTTGAGAGAGTGTGTGCAAGGCCGGGGGAGGGGCAAAGGGGTGGGGCAGAGAATCTTAAGCAGGCTCCATGCTCAGCGCAGAGCCCATTAAATGGGGCTCAATCTCACGACCCTGGGATGATGACCTGAGCTGAAACCAGGAGTCAGACACTCAACTGATTGAGCCACCCAGGAACCTCTCCTTTTAAAGTTTAGAGGCTAGTATAGCTCTTTGTGGAGGAACCACAATGAAGATGGTGGGGCATTTCTAGAGGCAATTTAAGAGAAGAGATTAGTGCACTAGACTGTAACCCCAGCACTGTCCCATCATCTTTTGAAACACACGAAGCAAACAAGGAGGGTTTAGATTCTATTGTTGTATCATAAATAGCTTAAGTATGGAAGTCAGTATAACCATTAGGAAAAGATTATTTGTGACACACCTGACAACTGATCACATCACTATGGTTAATAATGACTAGTCTAGTGGGAGAATGAAGATCAGTGAAGAGATTATAAAATGACACTGCTTTCATTTATAGGATTAGGTGAGCTCAGGTGCTATGGAAACGAGGGTGCTTTACTCAGTCTTCAGGGTGTGACTGGAGCAGTAGGTGTGTGGGAAGTATATTGAAGATGATGGGAGAGGTAGGCAGCACCAGATCACTGATGATCTCCTGTACCATGTTGAAGTTGTGACAGTTTCTGTCAGTAGTTTGAAGCCACTGAAGAGTAGTAACTTGTACCAGGAGAATAGTCACGGGGTGGTGGACCGGATAAGATACCAGTCAGACTCTCAGTTCAGATAGTTCAGAGCTGATAGGAGCTCAGGAGCAGCGGGTATAAAGAATAAGTAGTCAGCAGAAGGTCTGTCTGCAGAGCATGAATTACTCCACGCCCATAGGGGATCAGCTGAGTCACAGCTAGTTTGGGGGCAAGGGTGGTGGTGGTGGATGTGGTGCTGCTGTGGCAGACGAAATCTGATCATGTGTGAGACAAAGATCGTTTTTCAACTATCTTTATCTCAGTGTTCTGTGTATGAATAGACCAGCCTACTAGATTGAAGAGGGGCATGAAGAAGCTTACCTTGATTATGGTGATGGTCTCAGGAGAGTATACATAATGGCAAAACTGATCAAATTTTGTGCAGTTATTACACTTCAGTAGTTCTTCATTGCTAAAAAAAAAAAACCAAAACCTAGGCTATTATCTAGTAATACTGATCTTAGTTATTCTTTAACAGCTTTAATGAGATATAATTCACATACAGTTCACCCACTTCAAGTGTGTTTTTCTGTGTTTTCTAGTATAATGGATAAGTGCAACCATCACCATAGTTGATGTTAAACCTTTTTAATTGTCTCAAAAAGCAACCTCTTCTGCTACCGCCCTCTACATTCCCACTCACCAGCGCTATGCAACAACTAATGTACTTTCTGCCTCTATAGATTCCATCCCCCCTTTTAAAAATTTATTTATTTTTTAGAGAGACAGAGACAGTATGACCACTGGAGGGACAGAGACAGAGGCAGAAAGAATCCCAAGCAAGCTCCATGCTGTCAGCCCAGAGCCTGACATGGGGCTCAATCTCACAAACTGTGAGATCATGACTTGAGCGAAACCAAGAGTTGGGCACTTAACCAACTGAGCCACCAGGTGCCCCTAGATTTCCCTTTTCTGGATGTTTCCTAGTAATGGAATCACTTAATACGTATTTTGTGTGTGGGTGTGTGTTATTGGCTTCTTTTACTTAACATAATGTTTTCAATGTTCATTCATGTTGTAGCATATGTCAGTACTTCATTCCATTTTGTGGCCAAATACTATTTCATTGTATGGCTGTACTACATTTTGTCTATCCATTCATTAGGTGATGAGCATTTAGATTGTTTCTACCCTACACAATTGTGAATGATCTTAATTCTCTGCAGCTGTGTGAAGGGACAATGCTAATCTTTGCATTTATCACGAGATTCTATTTCTGCATTTGGAGGAACTTTTTTTAAAAAGGCTGAATATTTGAGATTTAATTTTAAGTCCTAAATATATAAAAAAGGGACATTCCACTAAGACATTTTCTCTGGGGCTTTGTTTTGATGACTTCTTTCCCCTCCAGTTGGAATTTAAAACTTCCTGAAGCAGAGAGAAATGTTTCCTTTCTGGCTTGAGTAAAATAATTTCATTTAGGACTGGGAGTTTAAGAGATTTGTGGAAACGTTGGAAATGGGCAATGGAAGTTTTTATTTTATTTTTTACCTTTAGACAAGGCTGTTTAATTTAAAACATTTGTAGCCGAAATAGATGGGAGAGGTAGAAAATACAAGATGTTCTAACACCTGAGAGGAGACCAGAACCTAGGGGGTGGGTGGTTTCAGTGACAGATAACTGGAATGTCTGTCTTCCTGGTTAATGCAGGGTGAATCAAAATGTCAGAACTTATCAAGGGTAAGTTGTATTTACTCTTCGAGTGGGTTGAACTGGCATGATCGAATTCAGTAGTCCTGCTTGACATAGCACAAATAAATGACTAACTAATAGACTGAAGGGAAACGGGTTGCTGTAGCACTGCCTAATCATTTGGGGGATGGAAACCCTTTTGGGATTTGGAAATCTGATTGGGCTATTAACAGTCCTTCCTCCATCTCTCACTTGTGATTAGCCCCCAAATTTGTGTATAAAGCTTTAAATTAAAACAACAAAGACCCATTGAAATCCAACTACAGGTTGTGTTGTTAACTTGTTTCTTAACTAGTACTTCTTAATTATTGATGTTGGGCCTGGGTTTTTTGTTTTGTTTGTTTAAGTTTATTTATTTATTTTGAGAGAAACAGAGACAGTGTGATTGGGGAGGGGGCAGAAAGAGAGAGGGAGAGAGCCAGTGTGGGAGCTGCTAGATGCGGGACTTGAACCCACAAAGCCCTGAGCCAAGAGTTAACCACTTAACTGACTGAGCCACCCAGGTGCCTCTGATTGGTTTTGTTTTGTTTTGTTTTGTTTTGTTTTGTTTTTTGTTTTGTTTTGTTTTGAAGGATTAGAGTTTTTTGTTTTTTGGTTTTTAGAGTCAGGTTTATTTAAGTATCATTTACATACAATAAAATTCACTAATTTTATTATAATTTACATATAATAAAGTTCACTAGTTTTAGATTGTAGTTCCTAATTACTTTGATAGAGATGTTACACATTTTAACACATCGTTGACAACCAGTAGCATTTATTATAGCAATAGAAGGTGCAACTACAAGCAATTTTGGTGTTTTTTTTCTTTCTTCTTTTTTTTTTTTTCTTTAGTAAACTCCACAGTCAACCTGGGGCTCGAACTTATGACCCCGAAATCAGTTGCATGTTCTACCAACTGAGCCAGCCAGGTGCCCCCAAGCAATTTTGTTTTGAACATATTACGCTTTCTACAATATATGCATTGAAAAATTTGAGGTCTATTTCCTTGATTTTTGTAAGTAAAAAAAAAAAAAAGTATTTATTTTATGCCTGTGTATATGTATATATTCTATATTTAAATATAAATATATGTATGTATATATATGTATAGTAGTACAAGTTAAGGTGGTATAAGCTAAACTATGTGGAGACTAATGTATTGCTGAACAAATTGTTTTTAGAAATAATTAAGAATGATGTTTATTTAAATTAACATTAAACTGGCATTCACTCCTAATGCCTACACCCCTTCTGTGTCACTACCACCACCATCTCCACCTTCAACCCTGCCCTTTAACATACCCAAGTTACTATAAATCTCTATTAGAGTGCCTTCCACTTAAAAGCTAAATCTTAAATACTGGATTTACCTTTCCTGCTGCTTTACTTAAGATGGAATGAATTAAAGTGCCTTGTTAGAATTCTGTTAACTTACGTACCATAATTTTTTGGTATTGAAAAATTTGTGATTTAAAATTATAAGTAGGTTGCCTTAAAAAATGTTTTCAAAGGCATTATATGCTGCTTATTACCTCTTTGGATGGCATTGTGAGAGGTGTCCTGTTTTTTGGCCTTTATAAAATAGTCGGTGATCAATACTACATGCACAGGAAATTCACCTGTAAACCACGTAAGCACTATTATAAAGAGTATTATTTCTAAAAAGCTATACTAGGATTTCCTCTGGGTAAGTGTTCACTTCACTTATAACTATTTAAATATCTTTTTGTGCCTGTACATTCTAGGCACTAGGGATAGTACAAAAAAATTCCTGTTGATGCAGACTGTACATTTTAGTGGCCAAGACCCAGCAAATGAAAATTTATGTAGTCAGCTATGTAGTCTGAATTAAAAATAAAATATTGAGCTTTATGACTTAACAATAGCTATCATTAGAGGCAAAGATTAGTGTCCTTCTGTGATAGGCCCCACTCAAAGGGAATTCACCACATCAAAATTCACCACATGCAGTATAAAAATAGGTAACTATTCCATTAACAAGTAAGTATTTACCCTATTTTAAAATGGGGGAAAAAAATTAAAGCTCACCCCTAGACAAACCTTGCTATAAATTTCAAACTGGAATCTGTAGACAAAATAAATGCCTGAAAGATACCACATGAGATGAATGTTTGTTTAGAAGAAATTGCATAAAGTTGGGAATTAACATAAAAATTTATTTAATGTGTTTCTCACTGGTTTACTATGTTCTTGGAGGCAGAAAACATTCTGAAGGGGCTGTCCTTTAATTTTGCAATTAAACTGATAAGTGGTTCACTATAAATTAATAAAAATTTGTTTTACTTTTCAAGAAAGACTTTTTACAGTTCTTGGAAGCTGAGGACAGTCAAATTTGGTTTATACTGATGAGACGATGAGATGTACATCTACATTTTATACTATAAAAGAATGTAGTTACTGTTTTAACAGCTTCTCTTTAGAATAACATGCTCAGAATAATGCAACTACAGGAAAAGTGGTCAAAACATAGTTTCAAATTGTACATTTTCCAACAGTGTTAAATTAATTTCAGGTCATTTAGGTTAATCTTTAAGACAGGTAGAATATCAACTATTCTCTTCATACTACCAGTCTGCCTTGAGAGTAGCCTGTTCTGATGTGCCCATAGTAGCTGTAAAAGGAAGTTCTTTGAAAAGGAACATTTTACTTGGGGCCTTGTCTCAAATGATGATGTGTATGAGATAAATGTATGAAAATTACATGCTTCTTTATTCTCCAGCCTCAGAAATCAGGCGGTTATGGCTTTGAACACCTTGCTGAGCCACTTAACTTCTAGTTTCGCCAAAGGAAATGAGGTTAAAGTCAGGGATCTGGAAGTAGGCAGGAGAGAGAAGCCCTCTACGAACTTTCTGTGGTGCCCTTCCCTTGCTTCTTTAGTCCCAAAACCCCAGTTAATTTCTTTTTTTTTTTTTTTTTTGGCTCTTTTCCATCACAGTTATTTGTGATTTTAAAACCTATTTCTGCCCTTGTTAATAACTTGGGAAATTGAAAATTTGTAATTTTTTCTCCCCCTCCTGATAGGTGCTGGATAGTTTACTAGTCCAGTATGGAGTGGTGGAAAGCTGTGAGCAAGGTACATGTCTTCTCAATTGCGTTCAAATTTTTAAAAGGAAGGAAATAGAAAGAAAACTAACTTTTTTTTCTTCACTTTTCTCTTCCTCTAGTGAACACTGACTCGGAAACTGCAGTCGTAAATGTAACCTATTCCAGTAAGGACCAAGCTAGACAGTAAGCAGTTTGAAACTTTTAATCTATACGTAATAACTAGGTTAAGTTTAGTGCTTACATTTTGGGCTGTTGGGTAGCAGAAATAAATTTTATTTTGCACAGTTTGACCCTGCAATTCTTTTTAAATTTGAATGTCTGATAAGAATCTGTATTAGTAAAGTTTTACTACATTTTTCATATGTCTTTAATGCCAATAATAGAGTGGTATTGTATGACGCTGCATTACATCCTATTTGCAAAAAGCTCTGGGCCTGGGTATCCTTGCCAAATTACGTAAAGACTTGTTGTTCTTATTGATATGCTACATAACATTGCTATTTTATGTAAAGCGGGTAAGTTGATCATGTGTTAAACTACCACCGGTGTTAAATGTTAAGGTTTCTTGGTCACTGATTTTTTTTTTTTTTATTGATGACAACTATAATTTAGGAGCATGCAGACATTGGATCAATGTAATTTGCTTTTTGATTTGAAAAACATATTCCAGTG